GCTATAAATGGGCAAAGCTGGCAATTGCTCTGGGGCAGGGAGCCATTTCCAGTTCAGAAAAAGCTAGTATTTTAAGAAAAATGGTGCTTGGCCTCAAATATGAGAATTTAGAACCAATCAGAAAATAAAGGTTTCTGGAAATGCTAGCTGTTGCAAACAAGTCAACTTTTGCCAAACGATAGCCACTTCAGTTGTGGCTAATACAACTTTATTAAAAAGTTAAGGCTACTGCAGGTTTTATTGCCCTACATAGGGGTAATTAAGGCTGAATTAAAGTTCATTTACAATTAAATGTAGAGAAAAATACTAGTGATGTAAGAAGCTCTACTCACTCTAACATGAGAATCACAGAAAAGTAGGGCTGGAAGGGACCTCACGAGGTCATCTAGTCCAGCCACCTGCTCAAGGCAGAGGCATCCCTGACTAACCCATCCCAGCCAAGTGTAATGTCTGACCTGCTCTTGAAAACTTCCAAGGATGGAGATTCCACAACTTCTCTAGGTAGGCTGTTCCAATGTTTTACCACCTTCATAGACAGGAAATTCCTCCTCCTAATCTCCAACCTAAATTTCCCCTGTTGCAGCTTGAGGCCACTGTTCCTAGTCCTGTCCTCCATGGACACAGAGAAAAGGCCATCTCCATCCTTTCTGTAATTGTCTTTCGGGTATCTGAAGACTGTTAGCAAGTCTCCCTTCCCTCAGTCTTCTCTTTTTCAGGCTAAATAACCCTAGTTCTTTCAAACATGCCTCATCAGTCTTGCCTCCCAGGCCCCTATTCATTTTTGTTGCTCTGCCTTGGACTCTTTCCAAACTGTCCACGTCCTTTTTGAAGCATGGGGCCCAGAACTGGACACCGTACTCCAGGTGAGGCCTCACCACTGCTAAATGTTTAATTATGTTTAATACAATAATTTGTAGTATACCTAGAGTGTCTATTAACTACATCACTGGGGACTGCAGTACACAAACTGACTAGTGTCCAGCAACATTTGAAGCACTCATTTACGATAACTAAGGAAGGCTACAAACACTTCATATTTGCTACATAGTAAACCAATTTTACTAAACGATAAAAGTGGAGCAGACGTATGATGCACAGCCCCACTCTAGCAAATCATCAAAACTGTGTAGTAAAGAAATTTCCGACATGATCAAGTTACAAAATTACAATATGCGGCTAGTGGGAATGTGTCTTGCTCCCACAGTCGGTTTCATACAGTGGTAACTATTTGCTCAATGTGAACCAGTTCTCCTGCTACCTTGTGCCCAGGCACTGTAACAGCACCTATTGTAGGCAGCTAGCTTCAGACAGCTGGGTGTACGTACTCTCCTTTTTATGGAGTAAAATCCATACATATACACTCTAATAATCTTATCAAGTAAAATCCATACATATACACTCTAATAATCCTGTGGTGTACCTCCACGCTCAGTCTCCAGAGAGGATATCCAACCACTTTGGCTGGATTTGGCAATACTGAATTTTGGAAAGCTTAAGAGTCTAAGGTGGTGGACAGACATTACATTTGTAGCACTGCAGCATGTTGATGATGTGCTACAAAAAACACTACTGGTGCAGACAGACATGCAGAGCCCCCTGACTGAAGCAGTACAGAGTTGCCCTTAAGGCATTCAGTTGGGGGGGGGGGGGGTGTCAGACACCACACAAGAGGGATTGCTCAACCCTGTTAATCTGCTCCCATGTTGCTCTCCTCCACCAGGGGAGGGGAGCATGTCTACAAAGCATGGTGCATCTTTGGGAGTCTCCCTCATGGAGCGGGGAATGGATAGGCTGTCAGTGATTGGGGGACCACACTGGTCTCCCAGGGCTGCCACCCCACTGGGAAAATAGAAGACCAGAGCACTCAGGGACTCCATGCTACTCTCTGTCTCTCCCCACCTTGGAAGAGGAAGGAGGGAAGGGGCAGGGACAGAGTGGAG